TTTGAGCCGTTGAATGAAACAGGGAGCCAGGAGTCCACAGTGGTGTCAATAAACAGGAAATTGCAAGCTTGGCAAGGACCAGGATCTTCAGTTTCAAAGTAACCCTTGCAGGTGATGTTGGCTACACAGGAGCAAAGGGGAGCCTCGCTGCAGGGACCCACTGAGCCCAGGGAACGCAGTACTGTGCTTGCTGTGTGCTGTCAGCCCCACGTGGCCGGGTGGCACTGCCCCCAGGGATTCCTTGGCCGTGATCTTCTCGGAAGCAGACTGCCAGGTCTTTCTCCTTGGAACCGCTGGGTGTATTTGAACCTTCAACCTTGTGCTTAGCAGCCCAGGGCTTAACCGTTAGTGCCACCAGGGGCAAACTGCACCCGTTGGTGGGATGCAATGGCACCCAGCCTTGCTCCTGCGTTCTTCCTGCCTCGCTTTCGGTGCGCTCAGCAGAATAAGGCCTCCAAAGCCGTCTGCCCCTGAGTCTCTGGAACTGTGGGTCTACCACCTCATATGGCAAAAGGCACTTTGCAGATGTGGCTGGGGTCAGGGTGGGGAGACTATGCCGGTTAGCCGGGGAGGCCCAGCGTAAGCATGCTGATCCTGAGCATCAGAGACCCTTTCCTGGCTGGTCTGAGAGGTGCAATGTGGGCATTCAGTCTGCCACCACTGCTTTGGACACGGAGGAAGGGGGTCCTGAGCCATGGAACACAGCAGTTTTGAGGAGCCAGGAATGCCCCCCCCTTTGCAGCCAGCAAGAACACAGGAACCAGCAAGAAAAACAAGAAGCTGAATTCTGCCAACAACTGACGAGCAGGAAATGGATTCTCCCCTGGAGCTTCCAGAGAGGAGGGAAGCCCACCAACACCCTGATTTAGTCGCATGAAATCCTACCGGACTTCCGACAGAAACGGGAGCTGGTGAGTTCCACTGAGTCCCCAGATTGGACAAACTGATCATACCAAGTGTTTGTGACAACGTAGAGCAGAGGGCCTCAATCTGAGGCCAAATCTGGCCCCCCACCTGTTTGTGTAAATAAAGTTTTATTGGAACAGAGCCGTGCTCATTTGTTTCCGTGTTGTCTCTGCTTTTGCTCTCCAACAGCAGGAGGGAGTAGCCGTGCCAGAGACTGTATGGCCCACAGAACAGACAATGTTTACTCCTTGACTCTTGACACAAAGTTTGCCGATTTCTGAAGCAAACCAACAAGGGTGCCTTTACCTGCTCTGAAGAACAGTTTTGGCAGATTAAAAGTACGCACACGTTTGCATCTGCAATTCCACCTCCCGGGGTTGACCTTAGAGAGATTATAACTCAGAGACGTTACCGAATCTCCTACTAATGTTCCTGCGTCACTGTTGATGACGTGGCAGCGCGTAAGTCCTCTAACTTCAAGGGGAGGGTGAGAATCAGCAACAGCCCAAGCTGCTCCCCTGAGGTAGAGGCGGCACACCTGTGCTCTCCGGCCTTCCCACCGATTCTGAGCCCAGCCGTCCCCCCATAGCACTCTCTGCTCTCTTCTGGGTTCAATAATTCATGGCAATGGCCGCACAGACCTCAGAGACCATAGTCAGAGTTATAAGGTTTCTTAGGGAGGTAACAGACCACAAATCAGGCTCAATATCCACTTGGAAGTAGCAGGAACACCTCAGGGAACAGGGGACAGTCTGTTACTCAGGACAGCTTCCAACCGGGACAGCTCTCACCTCCTCCTCACTGGGACCGTGGGCACGCCTCACTCTTGGCCCGTGTCCTGACCGGGCAAGCGTGACAGTTCTGTAGCTCCACTGATAAGTGCCCACATGTCCACTCTGCCAGGAAGCCTCCTGCCCCAAGTTGCTCAGCTCCCTTGCTCCGCAGGTCAGCGAGCCCACAGCAGCCGCTTTGCTCTGTGGGCCGGGAAACCCAGCAGTCATCGCACGTCAGGCTCCCGGTTCTGGCTGTTCATGCATCGCGCACTGTGTTTAGTGTTACAGCTCTCTGTCTCCTAGGAGGTCCTTGGCTCAGGGACCCCAGGTCCAAAGCACATGCTCTCCTCCCAGCTCTTACTGATGGTGGTGAGATCCATCTGAACCTCTGCGGGATTGGCTCTTTCACACCTAGCTGGATGGCAAAACAGACCAATTGCCGTCGTAGGCCATAGGTACCTTATTTGCATAGTCACTGTCGAAGCCCCGCAGGAGCTTTGTGCAGCTTATTTGCATAGTCCCAAGCAATCATTTTTGTGGGCAGCTAGAAAGGCCATATGAAAGCAATGCACTGGACCATGATTGGAAATAACTAAGGAATCCGTAACAGGAGGTTGGATACTTGTACTCTGCACTGTAACGAGGGGCTCAAGCACGTTGGCTGTTGGAGGCATGTGCAGGACCAGGCGGTGTTTTGTCATTAAACACGGGATCACTGAGTTACAGTCAGCTGGAGGGCACCTAACAATAGCATTTAAACAGTGGAATTCCACACCTGTTGCCCTCCAGACATTCCAACTCACAGCAACCTTGTAGGACAGAGCAGAACCTCCCCACAGCGTTTCCAAGACTGTAATCTTTACGGAAGCAGATCACCCGTTCTCGTCTCCCAAGGAGCAGCTGGTGGGTTCGAACGCCAACCTTTCAGTTTAACTGCTCTGCCACCAGGCCTCCTCACTGCATTCCAGAGGGCAGTGAAGTGAACCACTCCAAGCACAAGGAATAGCACAGCAAATCCTGGAAACCTAAAGGCGGGTGAAGAACAGAAGTTACGGAAAACACATAAAGTCTAATTCCATGGTGTCGAAGTAAAAACAGAAGAACGCCCACCCCAATCAATACACCATTGTATCTGGCTGAGAGAAACAGTCTGAAATGTCAGTGGCTTAAACAAAATACTTTGCCTCTCTCCTGCGTCGCAGCCCAGAGGGTAGGCCGGTGGCTGTGGTCCACAACGGAGTCCTGGGGCCCAGGCTTCTTCTGCCTTCTTGCTCATCTCTGTTCCAGTGCTGCCCTTGCCTGCACAGTCCAAGACGGCTTCTTGCCACCCCTCTCTGTTCCCAGAAGCAGCATGCAGGAAGGGGGAGGGAGGAGCAGACCACCCCACCCTGCAAAGATTAAGCTAGAACTTGCCCCTGCCGGCTTCTCATTGGTCAGAATGTACAAGGGAGGCTGGGAAGCGCATTCTTTATTCTAAGCAGCCACGTGCACGGGACTGAGGTAAATGAACATTGGGGGTTATGTAATCATCCCTGCCATTGCTGATGTGCCCACAGGGGTCAGCCTTTGGAGAAGAACAGTGAATGGCTAACATCTGGATAGTGTGCACTCCAGGAGGGCAGGGGGGAGGGGTGGCACTAGGGAGGGACCCATAGGGCGTACCTAAGTTTCTGGTAATCATCTGTTTTTAAAGCTGAATGAGTGCTTAGTGTTATTTGCGAGGGTGTATTTCCTATCCTGTGTGCACAATATTTCATGCATAATTAATGCAAAGCAGGTCAGGGGAATATGGATGACTCTGTTTATATGAGCATTGTCTGTGGCCACACCACCCCGAACACCCCATCTCGTCCATTCGTACAAACGTTGAGGAATGCAGGTACTTTTCATTTTGGCCTTGTGTTTCGTCACTCTTTAGGCCGGTACGCCTTTTCTTCCTCTTTGACCCCAAGATGGGGCAGAGACGTCCCCAGTGGTCGCCCTGCCCAGGGCCCGTGGACTCAGCTTCGCCTCTGAAACCCAAGATCCCTCATATGCCTTCAAACTTGGCCTCCTCTCCATGTTAACTCTCCCGGGAGCCTTTCACTCCCCCTGTGCACGCTGCCAGTCTGCTGCAAATTGCTTACTTCTTTCTGAGAAGGCCCACCCAACTGCCTGGTCTCTCTATTCATTCATTCTAGATACACTGTGAGTATTGCTGATTCCAGAAGTTCATGTATGTATGAGGGTCCTTCTCTGCCCACCAACCTCCATTTATACCTGAAGGAGTCCCACTTGTCCCTCAAGGGCCAACCCAGAAGCCACCTCCTTCTTGAAGCCCTCCAGAATTTCTCCTGCCTCATCAGTCCTTCTTCTGCCCTATGGCAGCATTCCTTCTGCTGCTTTAGCTGTTAAGTGTCCTCCTCCCTCCACGTATCAGCTCTGGTTGCTGTTCTGAAGAGCACTGTCCCCTGGAAGCAGACCTCGGGCTCCTCTCCAAGCTGTGCGACCAAATTTTTCTGTGCCTCAGCGTCTCACTTGTAAAACAGACGGCCATTTCTCCGAATAGGTTGCTAAACTGTCAGCTCAAGCAGTTAAGGGCCCTGCACCCTGTGCCCAGGGCACAGCTGAGCGAATACCCCGAAACAGGGCCTACGGTTTAATTGCTGAAACAAGATCCCCAAACCCCGCTCTTCCGACCCTGCTCTCCGAAAGGCGCAGCGCTCCCCTTGCCCGCCCTCCACTGTGACAGTGGAGGCCCGCGTCCTTCCGCTCCAAAACCAGCAGGGAACCCCAACTCAGAGAGACGCTTAGCGCCAGCCCGGGTCCCCGCTCCGCCCCGCCCCACTTCAGCCCTCCCCCGGCCCCGCCTCCGCCCCGGGTCCGAGCCCCGCCTCCCGCTCCAGTCACGCCCACACGCTCGCCCACTACCGTCACTCTTAAGTTCCCTTCTGGCCCGAGCCCCGCCCCCTCCGTCACTTCCGGGCAAAGACGCCTGCGGAAGGCGGAAGTGTGTGTCTGAAGGTGGCGAAGCCGGGCTGAGGTGTCCCTAACTGGCATCGCCTGGGGCTTCCGGGGGTGGGTTTGGGAAGGCGGAGGCGGCCTCGAGCAGAGCGGGCCGCGGTGGCCATGCGGCGGCTGCGGGGCCCGGCGGACTCTGGAGGCTGAGCCCGCCGCAGCCTCTCGGCGCGCCCAGGAAGCCCCGCGTTCCGCGCGCGTCGTCCTGCAGCCGGTCTTGGGAGTCCTCCCCTCCCTGCAGCGCCACCGTCGTCCCGGCCGCTGCAGGGCCGGCCAGCTCGGCGACCCTTTGCACCGGCTGGATCCGGGCCCCAGACCCCCGCTATGACTGCGGCCGCCGCCTCCAACTGGGGGCTGATCACCAACATAGTGAACAGCATCGTGGGCGTTAGTGTCCTCACCATGCCCTTCTGCTTCAAACAGGTGAGTGCGCGGCCTGGCCGCCCATGGGACCGGTGCCCTGCGGGCCAGGTGGCCGCGGGCGCCGCAGGTAGGGCTCCTCCCCGACCCGGACTTTCAAGTGCCTCTGATGCACCGAGCCGGTGTAGCTAGGGCTGGGGGTGGCGGCCCCAGAGGACACTACCGGACACAGCACCCCCTGGGCTGTTACCCTGGCTGCCCCGGAATCTCCACCGGAAATCAGAAGAGAATTGGGCGCGAAAAACTCACCCAGGGGCCGAGCTGGCTGCACCGTTCACCCAGCGGTGGAAAGTTGTGCACATTTAGAAACTTTATGCCGAGGACAAAGTGTCACAAGGGAAAGCAAAGTCAAAGACAGCAGCGGATTCAGAAGTTATTTGTTTCCAAGCTCTGCGCACTGCCCTGATGTTGGAAAGCTCACAGTTGACCCATCTCCAACCTTAGAACTAGAGGGGGAGTTGGTTAGAGCTGCTCAGGGTGCTAAAATTCACCAAGCGGGGCCACTGCCCTGCACTGTGCTCATTTACCTCCCGTGGAGGAAAACTGATGCACAGAGAAGCTGGTGGCATCCCAACGTGGAACACCCCCTGGAAGAAAGCGACCGTTTCGGAAGCGTGAATTCGCTTGGCGTCTGTTTCCGTTGTTCACAGTCGCACATGCATTCGGCACTTGGGAAAAGGGAGGCTGGTGGAATATCACCTTCCTTCTTTGTGGCTGACTGGACTCTTGTCTAAGGTGCTCTGGTGGTGCAGCAGTTAAAGCCCTGGGCTGCTAACCAAAAGGCTGGTGGTTCAAACCCACCGGCCGCTCTGGGAGAAAGGATGAGGCAGTCTGCTTCCGTGAAGACTGACAGCCTTGGAAACCCTCTGGGGCAGTTCCACTCTGCTAGCAGAGGTTAATTATTATTTTCTTAGGTAGTATTTTACTGTGTTTTTGGTGAAAGTTGACACAGCAGGTCAGGTTCCCCGTTGACAACTTCTGCCCAGATTGATCAGTGACATCGGTTTCGACTAGCTTAGTCTGTGATTAGCAAACACTTTGAGGTTTTGATATTTGTGCCTTTTGGATAAAAATACCCCAGAAATGTCTTCCGAACTAAGAATTTCCTGGGCAGCCACGTGTCCAGCCCTCCAGCCTGCCCTGGGTGAGACGCATCCACAGTTGCCGTGAGAGCTGGCCGACTGGCTTGGCTGGCGAGCCTGTGGGCAGCGTGTGGGCGTGAGGACCAGGATGTTGCCAGCAGCAGGTGGCTGGAGGCGGAGCTGGCAGCTCCTGGGGCCCTGGGGCGGCATCTGCATTGGAGCCTTTGGAGTCAGTATTTCTGGAGCAGCTGCATGTCCCAGCATGCACTGTGATTTTTGCGGTCAGGGCAGACTGCCTCCTGGGATGTGTAGTGTTGACGGGGCATCACTGTCATCTTGCACAGCTGTCAGGAAGTGCCACTGCAGCCAGGTTTAGACAGCGCTGTGGTTGAGACACTCGTTAACATCTGTTTGAGGGCCCAGGGGATGCGGTTGTCCGTGCTCTTTGAATGTCTGGGTGCCACAGTGAAGCCGCGAAGTAGAGAATAGCAGGCAGACAGGCCCTAGGGACGTAGCCTTGCTGGAACCAGGCGCGCAGGAACCACAAACAGTACAAGTGGCCTGCTCGGGAGGCCACAGGGAGACTCGGGTCTGCTCTCCCCTGCACTCGGTCTTCTCTGTGGAATCCCTCATTTCACCTGCTGCCCTCCTCAAACTGCAGCCCAGGGCAGGTTGGCAGGGGGTTTGGGGAGTGTGTGTTTAGTGTTTTGACAGACAGGCCATTATTTATTTATTTTTTTGTTAAGGGACTTTTGGCACTTTTAAAAATTTAGATTTATCGAGGGGTAGTTTACGTGCGGGCAGTGCTGGCTCTGTGGTGGGATCCTTGCCTTTCATGGTGGAGACCCGAGTTCGAGTCCCGGCCAGCGCAGCCCTGTGCAGCCACCAGCCGTCCCTGGAGGCTCGCATGTTGCCAGGGTGTGGATCAGGCATCAGCAGACCGACCGGGACAGACCGGGAGGAAAGGCCTGGATAGGCGGTGAAACGCCACGGTGCTCGGCCTGATCCTGCCACGAGCTGGGACCCAGCTGACAGCAGCTGGCAGTGGGCTGACGTGCCCCAAATGCACCCTGTTTACTGTGTAGACAGTGAGTCTGGACACATGCCTGCAGTCACAGGGCGCCACCTCAGCCAGACGAGCAGCCGCCCCAGATTCCCCTCCGTCCTCGCCCCCCGCCTCTGGCCACAGCGAGCAGTCCTCTGCTGCAGCTCTGCGCTTCTGGGGCGCCCTGTGACATGCACAACTGGCTTCCCTCGCCCAGGCCCTTGTGGCGGTGGCCGCAGTGGGTTTACGCTGTCACCTGCTGGAGGGCGTTGGGGTGTCTGCAGGGTTGGAGGTGGGGGAGAAGCACGCCGTCACTGCTGGCACACAGGTGCTATGTGAACACCTGTGTTCGTTCTCGTGGGTATACATGTCGGGCCACGTGCTCCCTGTCTGTTTAGCCGTATGAGAGAGGTGTGTCACCTGTAATCTTTCCCTTCCAGAGTGGGTTCACCACTCCGAGCTGTTGACCCAGGTGGCTAGAAGGTGGTGCACAGTGGGGCGTCTGCAGGAACTTGGGAAAGTAGTTGTTCGGAACATGCCCAGGACTTGCAGGGGCCAGGACAGGCAGGGTCCCCGGGCACAGGTTTTACATTGCTGGGGGAAGTGTTGGCACCCAGTGCTGGGTGCTGTCACCTGCAGGCCGGGTGTGAAGTGTGGCTGGAGCCTTCTGTTTGGGCGGGGTGGGGGCTGTCAGGGCTATACACGCGTTGTTTGGGGGCACGGAGTGGATGTTAACAGTGGTGCAATCCTCGGAAAGGATGGTGAGGATGGTGGCACACGTGAGGAATGTGATCAGTGTCATTGAGCTGGAAACGTCCACGTCACGCAGGCGAACGTTGGTGTGTGTGTTGTTACCACATTAAGATACAAAAGCCACATGAGTGATTCGCACCGTGTGACTGTTTGCAGTGTGTCTCCGT